GGGGGGGGGGGAGGGGGGGGGAGGGGGAGGGACAGACAGGGACCGGCACACATGGGGGGGGCGCGCGGGGCCCACGGTGTCTGGCCCGACACCGCTGTGACATGCCACCAGCATGGACACGTGTGCCACACGCCAAGATGCAGATGCCAGGCACACGCAGCCCACACGCAGCTGGCACTCGGCGCAGGGACCCTCACAGACAAGCGCATCACATACAAAGGTGGACGGCCATCCGCAGACGGGGACACGTACACGTCACACACAAAGACGCAGGGACGCGCCGCACTGGAAACGCACAGGCAGGCTGGCTTCCAGCACAGATGCACCGGGCCACGCAGGAACGTCAGAGCATCACAAAGACCCACACTCGCCACAGACAAAGTGAAGGCCCAGATCCACAGACATGCGCCACAGACAGATACCCACGTGGACACCACAGAGACATGCACAATCACCAACACACTATCCACACACTCGGGCAACAAAGACACAAGTATCACACACTCGCACATCACACAGATATGCAGACACGTGTGGACATGCACATCACAGACACAGATATACACAGATACCAGGATACACAGAAACACAACACATGCGTGGATGTGGACAGAGAAAACGACACACACTTCACACTCGTGGATACACACAGACATATTACATACGCAGGCACACACAACTCGTTATGTTGCATAAACCACCTCCAAAAATGCACATCAATATATCACACACCGCTTCACACAGACACATGTAACATACAAATATGCACAGCCACACGTTGTCCATAAACACAGACACGCAAGGATACACACATCACACACCTAGACAGGGATGAATATACACAAATATACACACACTTCACACCTAAACAGGCATGGACACACATCACAGATATACACACAAGGTTGCAAAGACACACAGCCCCACGGCAGTCACACGTCACGTACACACGGGCACCCACACACAGTTTCAGACACACATAACACATCCCGAGACACGGACACACACGTCACAAACACCCACATTTCCTGTGAGGTTATCCAGACACCACACGACCACAAGCACTTGCCTCAGACACAAGATAATTAGAGTTGATTTCATGTATTTATTCCTAAGAGCTTTACTCGGTGCCAGGCGCGGTTCTCAGCGCTTTACACGTACAGCGATGCCTTTTCATGCTCGCAACAGCCCTGGGAGACGGGCCCCTGGGTCATGCCCATTGTACAGACGCGGCCACTGAGCTTTAGCGCGGGACAGCCACCGCCCGGAGGCTCACGGCCCGGAAGTGGCAGAGCTGGGACTGGAACCCGCTCCGTCGGGGTCGCCGACACGGCAGAGGAGGACACACACGCATCAAGGACTGGCGTCTGGGGGTCGCACCCC